GTCCCCATTGTCCCCAATGTCCCCAGGCAGACTCAGAGCTCCAGGCCGCGCTCAATGTCCCAATGTCCCCCATGTCCCCCATATCCCTATGTCTCCCATGTCCCCAATGTCCCCAATGTCCCCAATGTCCCTGATGCCCTCATTGCCCCCAATGTCCCCCCGAGATCCCCATTGTCCCCATGTCCCCGATGTCCCCATTGTCCCCGATGTCCCAAATGCCCCAAATGTCCCCATTGTCCCCTCGTGTCCCCATTGTCCCCAATGTCCCCATTCTCCCCAATGTCCCCCATGTCCCCATGTATCCCTTGTCCCCAGTGTCCCCATTGTCCCCACGCAGACTCGGAGCTCCAGGCCGCTCTCAATGTCCCGATGTCCCCAATGTCCCCATTGTCCCCAATGTCCCCATGTCTCTCATGTCCCCAATGCCCCTAATGTCCCCATTGTCCCCAATCCCCCCATTGTCCCCGATGTCCCCAGTGTCCCCATTGTCCCCAATACCCCCATTGTCCCCAACGTCCCCATTGTCCCCATTGTCCCCCATGTCCCCAATGTCCCCATTGTCCCCATTGTCCCCGATGTCCCCATTGTCCCCATTGTCCCCCATGTCCCCAATATCCCCAATGTCCCCAGTGTCCCCCATGTCCCCGATGTCCCCAATGTCCCCAACGTCCCCAACGTCCCCATTGTCCCCATTGTCCCCATTGTCCCCAACGCAGACTCGGAGCTCCAGGCCGCCCTCATCGCGCTCTTCTCCGAGCTCCTCTACCGCTTCCCCAACCTGTTGGTGGCCCAGGTGACAAGGGACAGCGTGCAGGCGGCCATCGCCAACGGCATCAGCGCCGAGCAGGTGACAGGGCCACCCCCGTGTCCCCAAGTGTCCCCAAGTGTCCCCAAGTGTCCCCACAGTGTCCCCAAGGTGTCCCCATGGTGTCCCCAGGGTGTCCCCAAGGGGGTCTGAGTGTCCCCAAGTGTCCCCAGGGTGTCCCCAGGGTGTCCCCAAGGGGGTCCGGGTGTCCCCAGGTGACAAGGGACAGCGTGCAGGCGGCCATCGCCAACGGCATCAGCGCCGAGCAGGTGACAGGGCCACCCCCGTGTCCCCAAGTGTCCCCAGGGTGTCCCCAAGTGTCCCCAAGGGGGTCTGGGTGTCCCCAAGTGTCCCCAAGGTGTCCCCAAGTGTCCCCAAGTGTCCCCAGGGTGTCCCCAGGGTGTCCCCAGGGTGTCCCCAAG